AATCCACATCTATAAGATTCTCTAAATCTGTTCCAATGGAAAAACAAATTCATTTACATCTTGGACAGCCTGAGGGTTGTTTACACTTTTAACAAATTTTCATTTTTGGGTGAACTATTCCTTTAAGCTACAGGAACATTTGACTAATCAGTACATTATTTGAAGCTTGACAGAGAAAATAAACACATTTTGAGAGTCCAGGGTCCTCTCAGGTGCCACACTCTCTCTGTTTCTGCATGTGTATGGAGCCTCCCAAGGACTGATATGAGATTTCTATCAGGTAACAGAACTCTCTATGTTTGCACGCCACCCTTTTAATCTTATCTGACCACTCAGACATACCTCTGTGTTCCCAACTGACACGAAATGCGTCTCTAAAAAACAACCCCACCAGACTCACAGTCTGGACGCCACCGCTGCAAGCAAGCCTCCAAGACCGATCTAATTGAGAAGCAGGGCGACTTGCCTAAAGACTTTACAAATTGCGGGTGACAGATGGAGGCCTTAATTAGAGCTCACCCAACTGTGAATTAAAGTGATGTGAGATCATGTCATGACACCATATCCTGTTTGGCTAGCAGTGCCATGGTGGTATCTCTCTCACTCAAGCTAATGGAGCTCAGAGCACTTAGGCTGTCACTATTTATCATAACGGCCACCATGTCCTGTGACTCCGCTGCACTGGACTGCACTTTCTGTGGTTGGAAGTCATGCGTCATCAGTATTCACGTTTATTTTTTGCATTGTGCTAATTAAAATAAGATGGAAATCACAAGGTCCGATGCTGTCTGCAGGGACAGTGTGACCGGCCGCTGAGGGTGGTGTTGATGTGGAGCCTGCGTCGGGCTGTTTGACACGTGGCAGGGCAAGATATCTGTGTCTGAAAGGAACAGGGCCTGCCCCGGGATAAGAGAGGTATGAGAACAATGGCATCAGCTGGAATTAAGAGAGGGGAGGCGGATGGGGAGCCACTCACACTCTTTTCCATTGCGTTAACTTACTGTAAGCTTGAGGAGAGCTCTGTATATAACTCCCAATACAAACATACAGTGGCCCCAAAAAGTATTTAGACATTTAAACCACACTTAAAAAATATCTAAATGTCATTGTATTAGATTCAATCACGTCCACAGTTCCAAAACCTGTGCTAACTGAAAGAACACAAGATTTGGTGATAATATAGCATAATAAGTGTTTGACATTCAGTTTTTAAAGGGCCAGTCATTTCTGACCGGGAACTTCCAATTAGATAAAGGATTTTCAGCACAGCACAAAAGTATATTAAAAAACTATACTTGCCCATTATATAATACTAATGAAATAAAGAGATAATAAAGAGAATACACTATCAGGAAGATTGTTTCTTGACACACTTAAGAACACTTTTAATATGTGCACTTTGTAAAAATGTCAAACATATTAAATATATAGTTCAGTCATGAAACTCTAGATGGCGCATTCTGATGGGGTGTTAACGTCTAACTGATGATATTCAGAGAGTTAAACGACTTGGCACAAGCTGATTGGTTCATGCTGCATATGCAGCCAATGAGCTTACTGCCTTGCATTTATATGGCTGGCTAGTATTCACTTGAGATTCCTGCAGTGCGCTTTCAGAGTTCTCTGAAACCATCCACCTTCCCCAGCTCCACCTGTATAGATCTGCTATGGGGTTATTTTATATGCTATTTGTGCAGCAGCAGTATGTCTTAAATACTCATGGCACCGTATCGCCATATGCATTGGCAGTAGCAAGTTCCTGTACTTGCTTGCAACAGCAGCAGCAATAATCTACAACTACAGCAATAACCAACAGCAGCAGCGTAACAGATCTGTTCCGCCAAGACCAAATACATTAACATTGTCATATCCATCACCATGCTAAAATGTTCCGAGAGTTGTCATGATTGAAATATAAATACTTATGTGGGTCACAAAAAAGCATTCTGAAGTTTAGCTAATTGCATTTAGTATTAATTTAACTATATACATTAATTTGCATTTAACATCCAAATGAGTGTCTGAAAACATTACATTCAGTTTGCACTTAGGTATATTATTTCCAAAATAAGTACTGTTTATTTTGAAAGTAAGAAGAAAGACATATTGGCATGTGCTCTGTGGACATATTTGAATCTTCTTTCGGTTAAAAAATAAACTGAATGTTAACACAGCATTGAAATAAATGGTGTGATTACCGTAGTTATTGCGCACCACCAGCCGAATTCCATTGTGCATGGAATATTTAAAGAAGAAAGAGAAACAAGGGAGACCGATTATCTCTAAAAGCTCCTTAAAATGCATTTAAATGGAGTTGAAAATGAGTTCATAGTGAATTTTTTAAAAGGACAAATGGGCCATGGTGTTTGCAGAGAGTAATGTCTGTTCTTATTAAAGAAATTAGAGAGCATAAACATAAGATCCTATGAATATAAATCTTATAAATAAAATAAATAAATAAATAACACTGAAAAATGGTGAAGAAACCATTTTCACTCAGAAATTGCTAATAAATTTTACAAACAATCACAAAAAATGGCAAGTAACACACTGAATTAAACATGAAACTTTGAGCTCCAATAGTATTTTCTTGTAAACTAATCTTTGTTTTATATATAGCTTCAAAAAGAAAAAGAAAAAAAAAAGTTTTTTTTTACAGTGTATATTTTGCTAAAGGAGAATTAAGCGAATTTCTAGACTTCAGAATTTTCTTGCATTGTGACAATATTTTTATAGTATTTATATTTCACCCCCGAATCTCATTATTTTATAATTTTACTTTTTTTTTTTTTAAATGTAATTCTCAATAATATCAATAATGATTCTCAATGTATAAAATAGCATGTAATAAAGTAATTTAAAAAATGTAAGTAATTATCTAAAATTCTATTTTTTTTTCTTTTTAATCTGCAAAACAGGTAACATAACCTGCCATGATGTATGAATTCTTCATAGTAATTAAAATAAGAAAATCATAAATTCGTCATACTAGTTAAAATAATAATAATAAATAAAAGTGATGCACATTTTGGGGAATGTACTTCAAAATAATGTCACAACACAAAAAAATCCTAGCGAAGATATATTATTTTTTCGTCTTTTGATTCTGAGGTGAAATGTGACCTGAACATGTTCCTAGGGTGACGGGTTTTGTGAGATT